TTATCTAAAGCCTAATGTACATTTAAATGTAATACTTACAATAAAACTCATGGAGGGCACTTTCAGGGATAGAGAGAGAGAGAGAGGAAAATGGGGTTAAATATCAACCACACAAACTAGGTCACTTTGGGACTAACATGGTTCAATTTTATTCGAATAATTCGCTTGCACTTAGCTGTCTTTAGCTGTGTTTAGAACAAGCAGGGAATAAAAACCACTCCACTTGACTCGATGACAGAGCTTGTGATTTTGGAAATTATGGTCCGCTATCTGCGAATATCGAAAGTAATCAAGATCTTGGAGTTATAAACATACATTTGAAGTTTCATTAAAATCGGATAAAAATTGTCACTTCTAGAGGTCTATACAGTTCGTAAATTATACCTGCATGTTATTCTTTTTTAAAATCGTTCTTGGCACATCATAAATTGATATGACAGTTGTTCATCCTTTCTTTCCAACTTATTCCCCGAGTCCGAAAAGTCACCTACCTGAGTCCGAAATGTCACCTGCCGAGTCAGAAATGTTGAGGCCAAATTTTTTTGAGTCTAAAATGTTGGAAGTCGGAAATGATGTGGGACCAAAATGACATATAAATTAATCGTTTGCAATGGCGAAGACTGTGGATGATATTGAGATAAAGTTTTTTAACGTCCACTCACACAAACCAGGTCATTTCGGGACTAACATATGGTTCAATTTTATTTCAATAATTCACTTGAGCGTGTGGGAGGAAACCAGAGAAAATCTACGAAGGTTAGACAGGCGACACTACTCCTTGTCACATACAACCGGTGAATCGAAACCATGCCAGTTGACTTAATGAATGACAGACCCTATGATACATTGCACACACACTATTACTAACCATTCGGCCACCCATACCCCTTTAACAATCAGAGGACTTTGTCCATTGAGAGACTGTTCTGAAAGAAACTACCAGTATATCATCTATCAAGATCAAGATTTAAAGTAGCTATAAGTCTCTAACTCAGAATTATTCAAGAATCAAAGTCTTCGACATTGAAAACATGAATTATTTGTCAATTCAAATCAACATTGGTCTTGTGATCTTACAGGCGGTGACAAAATGGAAATGGACGAAAGTAATGTAAATATTGGGAACAAGTGGCTATGATATCGTTTTGCGGGAGTATTTATGCAAATCAAAACGACTAGATTGAAGAAAAAACATATCTGAGTGAATCAACAGAGGTTTGATTGCCTGACATTACGAATTGTTGAAAAAAAACGAGCCGAAGCGAGAGCAGGCAAAATCGAGTCTTCAACAGGCATTGATTGCATTCCTGTTCTTTTTTTATTATATTAGCGATGCTAAACGCCGCTAGGAGCGCTGGCTGTACTATTTACAGACATCACAAAAAATTGACCGAGAAAAGTATACGTCGTGTTACGCCTTGTCATGAATATTCAGAGTGTCAAACACTGACCACGTGATGTTTACCATCGAGAAAAATAGATGAACTTGCTGTCGAGTAGGATTTTGAGAAGCTGAGGTAAGATTTTCTGATATTTTTTTATGAATTGAAAATTTGAAGTTGAGAGAAATTTTCGAAAAAGGCCCTCGACGCTCAAGATTGTAGTATATTTGGAAAGCCCAATTCATTAACTACTTAGTTTGACCGTTTGTTAAGTCCGTATCCCCCATAGGAATTCATAAAATGGCTGAAATTGAACCATGTGAAATTAAAGGGAGGTAACTCGTGGTTGATCAGGGTTCAGACCATAATTAAAACCCCCCCCCACAGACTTCAGTGTAAACCAGTGGCTGCCAGGCAGGATACGCCCACATTTTCGAGAGATGGATAGAGAACAAGCTAACAAGTAAGTGATTTTTCCTACAATCAAGGGCCATAATTCAGGAAATTACAATTCGATATGCGCAAATATCGAAATGAACTGAGATCTTTGTGTTATAAACTTACATTTCAAGTTTCAACAAAATGGGATAAAAATTGTGAGCTCTATAGGGTCCACAACCTTGATATACCATATTTTTACGCTATTTGAGAACAAACGACGGCCATTTTGTCTGTCAATTTTGGGCCGATTTTCACAAAATTCGAACTCAACCTTCCTTAGGGTGTAACGGTGATATAATAATACGTTTTTTTAAATCAGATAAAAATTATGACCTCTATAGGGTCCACAAGCTAAAAACGCGATTTTTCGTACAATCAGTGGCCATAATTCAGGAAGTTACGGTCCGATATTATGCGCGAAGATCGAAAGGAACCAAAATCTTTAGGTTATAAACTTACATTTCAAGTTTCAAAAAAATCGGATAAAAATTATGACCTCTATAGGGTCTATAACCTTTATATACTATATCTTTACGCTATTTGAGATCGAACGGCGGCCATTTTGCTGTCAATTTTGGGCCGATTTCCACGAAATTCGAACTCAACCTTCCTTAGGGTGTAACGGTGATATAATAATACGGTTTTTTAAATCGGATAAAAATTATGACCTCTATAGGGTCCACAAGCTAAAAACGCGATTTTTCGTACAATCAGGGGCCATAATTCAGGAAGTTACGGTCCGATATGCGCGAATATCGAAAGGAACTGAGATCTTTGGGTTATAAACTTACATTTCAAGTTTAAAAAAAATCGGATAAAAATTGTGACCTCTATAGGATCCACAAGCTAAAAACATGATTTTTCATACAATCAGGGGCCATAATCCATGAAGTTTCGATCCGATACATGCCAATATCGAAAGCAGTCGAGATCTTTTGGGGATAAACCTATATTTCAAGTTTCGTCAAAATCGGATAAGAATTGTGACCTGTAGAGAGTCCACAAACTATTGTGGACGGACAGGGGCGACGGCATAATACATCCACATGAAAATGTTGCGTATAAAAAAATGATGTAAGATTTGGACAGGTTTTTTTATTATATTGAATGTTACTAAAGCTACCAACCAAACTTTAGCCAGACATTTCACTATCAAAGGATAAAAATTGTGAATGTTGTTGACCACCTTGGATTTTTTTTTCAGGAACTGTTGCTGAAGAAGTAAGCTACTGCTTATAATACATCCAAATCCAAACATAGCCAAAGGCGATCCCTGATATTACTTGGTACAACATAAAATAGACAAATGATGATGATATATAGGCCTACTCATACAATTTGCATGAGGACTATAAAAAGGGGGGCTTGAAACTGACTGTTTCTCAGCATTCTCAAGAAAGTCCATAATTATTATAAATTTGTTATGAATCATAGAAGTTAGTTTAATTTATTGTTTGAAATCAGTATTAGTAATCTTATTTTTGTTATTTCAATATTTGTGATAATATTTATTTTATTTTTAACATTTTCTACCTGAAAGAAGTGGCCTGATGCGTCAAATGTTTTTGTTTATCTTGAAAAATATCGCATATGAATAATGTGATTATTTTATATTGTTATTATTGTTTGTTTTTGTAAGATACATGTATTAGAAATCTTATATTTGTTGATAAATGTGATAATGGTTTCTTTTTTTTTAATCATTTATTTTAAACCTGTGGGTGAACATTTTTAATTTCGTATTGAAAAGTAACAGATATGAATTTTGATCTTATTGTGATTTTTTTTTTAATATTTTTATATTTTTATGACATAGATAATGTCTCGGCAAGATGTATCACCATCTGAATGTTTATATTCTTTTTATTTTCATGGGATAATGTCTCAACAAGAAAGCTAGACTTCTACCACTGATATTATAATATAGTATATCATAATGCACATGTATCACAAATGAATTTTTTTAATACTCTTTCAAGTAGATCATATCTTACTTTTTATAAGCTTACCTTTTAATTTGGACTCTTTTAAGATATTCAAATGTTTTAATTATGTCTATGTTACTGTTTTTATTTGAAATTGTAGTGATGTTGATCACAAAAATATAGCTGTTATATAAATCATAGTTTAATTGTTAATTTTCATTCCTGAAACAAACAATCTCAAATTGATGTACATGGCAGCTTATAAACAACTAAAGCAGTTGGCGTGGCAAAGGCGGCAAATCTAAGCTTATATATTACAGGTTTATTTCTCATTTTGCCACACACTTTCATGATTTTTAAAAATATCCACAGTATACGTTGTATAACCGGTTTATAATTGTTGTATGACTGAATGGCCAGTGGTCAATGGCCTTGGAACCTGTAGGTGCCCAATTACATACATAAACTTGTTTCTCTTCGACACTGACATCATATGGTCAAAAATTGTGATTTAAGGTGTTGTCATGCAAAAAATAAATAACAGAACAGACTGAAAACACTTTTATGTGTGCTTATTCATTCAAAAATAAGCCTCTGTATTAATGTCAAAGCGCTACAATTTAAGTACACACAAATTTGAAAATTTTTTGGCTGTGATTTGTGCGAAATCGGCACGGATCCCAATTTTGAACCTCTGTAACATAAAAAGTATATACTAGAATATTATAGCGACAATTTGGCTTTATCAAGTACATCTAGATCTTTAATTAATGCAATTTTCATAGACCTATCTTGTATAGTTACTGAGATATTGGCTTCGGTCACTTTTTTGCGTTTTTTAAAAAAAGCCGTTTTTTAGCGCCCCTGGTTTGCCTTCTTTAAAATGCTATAACTTTTTTAATTTTCAATATTTTTTCGAAATTTTTTCAGATTATTCATTCTAGATAGTTCACAATTGCAGTATCGTTGTCATTTTTGAGTCAATGGTTGTATCTGAAAACCCGTTGGCAATGCTAATTATATATTGTCTGGTTGGACATGGTCACTATCATGGTGTATGCATATATAATATATATATACGGATAGGTCAGACTCCTGTGATTAGGCTTATGTTCAGACAAGATGAAGATAACTCTTTTACCCAGGTGCCAGTTGTTAATCAGCAGAGAGCTGACTTATATTAGCCTACTTATATTTGGAATGTCATCTACACATGTTAGAAAAGGGAAACTGGACATAACAGCAAACTCACTTATCAATTTATCATAGTCTACGCCTTTCAACGACGAGCTTGAAACTGTCCACGGATTCACTAAATCTTCCTCTGCTTGTCCATTCACTTCGTTTTCAACAGATAGCTCGGCCATAATTGAATCTGACGGGATTATTCCCTTTCGTTACCTATAATATTTGGTAAATCTGTTTCAGAAACAAGTACTTATTGTTGAGAAAAACTCACGTGTTGCATCACTACGAAATTTGTTTTATTCGATTTGATTGGTGATTTTAGTAGTAACAGAGTCCGGGTCAGAGACATAACGGCTCAAAGTCATAACGGCCAAAATATTTGGTAGTAACGGCCATACAAATTAAAGTCATAACGACCAAAAAAAAAAAGAAAATATTACGAAATGATATTTATTAACATAAATATTGCATAATAGATAATATAAATACATACATTACATAAACATTACTTCAATACGTACATTTACATAGAAATTTAAAGATACCGGTACATTAAATGGGAGATTAGATAAAGAGCTGGCAGTTCTAGTTAAAGACTAGATTAATCTAAAGGGTATTTTCTGAAAATTTCAGTCAAATTGAGAATTTAGCGATTGAATTTTCAGCCTAGCCACGACCATCATTACTAAAGTCGACACGATAAAAAAAAACACATGAATGAAAGTTGAGCGGCAAATCGGATCCATTCCTAATAAAGTAAATACATGTACATGTATCGCCGGGTAGATTAATCACCGGAATTCATTTACAATCACCGGAAATTACCGGTATTCACCGGAATTCACTTTGAAGATATCAGAATTCGCCCGTAAAATCTTTCTATTTACTTATATTTTCCATTAATATTAATATTGTATTACATGTACTTTAAAACACATAAAATCAGCGGAATTCACATTGAAAACATATAAACACCGGAATTTACTTTCAACATACATTAGTATAATAAATTACTTAAAATCACCGGGATTCACTTTGAAAACATATAAACATCGGAATTCACTGTCAACATATCGGAATTCGCACTCAAGAACATAGTATTTACTAATATTTTATGTTAAAAATAAATTATTTTAAAACACCGAAAATCACCGGAATTCACATTGAAAACATATAAACAGTGGAATTCACTTTCAAAAAAACGGAATTCGCACTTAAGACCTTCGTATTCACTAACAATTTACAATAATAATAAATTATTTTAAAAAACCGGAATTCACTGTGAGAAAATCGGACATTGAAAACCACACTGATCCGCAGTGAATATTCGCTAGGCCGCGACAATCACTGATAAGGATGATATCGATGCGACTTAATGAGTCACAAATATTAACCTTTTTCCTTCGACAAATTAAATTCTAAAACATTTTTTTTTATGTCTTAGAAAAATAAATAAAGACGTTTAAAGTATTTGTAGGTAAAAATTATTTCCTATTTTAGTGTAAATGGGTATTAAAATGAGTAAAAGGCGCCATTCTGCTCGAATTAGTAACGTCTTATGTAAACAATGCAAGCGCCATTAAGCCAATGATTGACGCCGCGTGATATGACGTCATGTGTTGAAGGCAGTCATCTTTTACAGAGATATTAGAAGAATTTCGTAATACTCTGTGTAACAGATTGATTGAAAACATATAAACACCGGAATTCACTTTCAAAATATCGGAATTCGCGCTTTTACATTAATAATAAATTACTTTAAAACACCGGAATTCACTTTGGGGAAACCAGAATTCACCCCAAGACAATTGTGTTTACTTATATTTTGCATTAATATTAATACTAAAATTGATCTATTGTAAAAGGATATTTCCAGATGGTCAATTTGGGAAACACAATATGATTAAACCGAACATTTCTCGAATGTGGAGCAAAACGTTCTATTGTTCTTACTGTTTAACGCCCGCTTCCATCGAAGGTGATATTGCAGACAAGTCTTATTTTTCGTTTTTATTATCTCAGCGCACGCGCAGGGATTTTTCTTGTGGGAGGAAACTGGAGTACCCGGAGTAAACCCACGAGGTTAAGAAGGCGCCCATATCTCCAAGTCACATACGCTCACACCATGATCGAAACCTCAACCGCAAGTTAGGGGCGGCGCGTCGAATTACCCAATAACACCCAATAAAACCCAATAGCTGCCCAATAACACCCAGTAGCCTAACTACCCAATAACACCCCAAAACTCAAAAATAACACCCAGTAACTCAAAAATGTTGACTTTGGACACAAAAAATTACAATATAGCTGAATTTAAGAAGCCTCGCTGCTTTGTGCCCAAATAGGAGTTTCACGCTCACTCGCCCGAAGGGAGATAACTCGTGTATGTGATTTTTGTTGACAAAAAATTAATGTATGCTTTCGTTGCAATTCGTTGTAATCGTACTGTAATTAGTGATTGGTTAATCGCTTATTAAAACAGTAATTATATGCACGAAACAATATTATGGTATATACAGTGCAGTAAACAAATTAATACTATAGCTATATTTATTTATATTTAGAAATTGTGGCGATTGTCATTTTCGGTCATCGTATAACTTATTTTGAAATAAATAAATAAAACCAATTTAGATTAGTGCCGCTGACAATTAAGTGTCTCTGCTCAGAGTATTCTCATGTTATCACAGTTTATTATGTTTGTCCGAATGTGTTGGAGGTGTGATTGGATGTGATTTGTTAATATATAGTCTAATGAAGTTTATCTAAAGAATGACAATAGACAATAATAGTTTTGATTATATCTCAGGATTGTTAAGATTGTCAAGATTTTTTTTTATTCCTATATTTAATAATAATATTTTTTATTCGTACTTAATTAAATTTTACACTTTGAAAATGAAAAAAAAAACCCACCTCAAAACAGTCTACATTATATATCAAGCTTACCGGAATACCTTATTAATAATTTCTCCAACATTAGGATCTTCCTTTGAGTCTCTAAATAATATAAAGTCCCTTTATTCTATCAGCTTTTAATACATTGCATCGCTTATTTTAAATTTGTCAATATTATATTTATAATATATATATTTAATATTATTACAAACAATGGGTTTACTTTCGTGTACACTGTAATTAGAGCATGTAGAACGCAGATGCGTACATTCTTTCTTACAACTTTTCAATATGCTACTAATAAATTCCACACATCTTTTATGGAGTTGAACTAGTATTGTAAGATCATTACAAATTAAATGTAGTAAGGTATTGTGTGTGCGAATTTTAAAATCTGTCATGCATTATAATCAGAAGAAAATTTACTATCAAATATAATGAACGTTCCTTCTCATCAGAAACATGGCGTAACTTAAAGAGGCATTATGGGAGATTAGATAAAAAGATGAAAGTTCTCGCTAAAAAAAAAACCTAAATAGAATATGTTGAAAATTTCAGTAAAATTGCTGCACTCTGAACCGAGATATTAACTTTTGAATTTTAAGCCTAGCCTGGATCATCATTACGATAAAAAAACATAGACTCGATTTTCTCTCTTCATTTGATTTCTCGCGTTCTGGTAAATTAGCATGTTAAATTACCTCTAAATTTACACAGATTAATATTAAATGCATATTTCTGACCCCCCCCCCCCCCTATATCATATAAAATAAACTTCTGCTTGAATAGACATACCCGACCCATGTACCCGTGTCTTAAATATTGGATGCTATTTCATATGTTCACGACAAGAAAACAACATCAATATTGATTGAAATGGACGATTTAATTTTAATTTGTGATTTTAATTTCGTATTTTATGGAAGTTTAGCTCTTGTGTAGGAAATGAAATGAAATGGGGTTTAACGTCCTACTGTTTGCTCCGGACTGGGCTAATGAAGACGGGCATACGCCATACAGTGTGCTATGAGGGAAATTTTGCTCGGACAGCGGCACTACGGCAACTCTCTTTTATCGAATTCCAACTGTCAAGGGATTTTTTACGTACACGCCAATGTGTACACGGGACATCGGTTTGTCGCCCCATCCGAACGACTAGACAACTGTCCTTGTCAGGCCCTCCGTCCTGCATCTCCTGGGTAGGAAGTCAATACCTGGACTATAAAGTTCGATGATCATTTTCTGCTTAGACCAAGTAGAGACGTCAATCTGATTAATCGAAACTTTGAACTTTCTAGGTTTTACTGAGTTATGATCAAATACAATTTATAATATTGTAAAATACGATGTGGTGTGAATACAAAAATTTATGTAAAGATAATAACAATCTCACGTTTAATCTATTTATTACAGGCTGCTCGACATGGTTATAATGAACTTCAATCTGTAGCAACACGCGAATCAGCATTTTTTCCAAATAACCGTCTGGTCAATACATATTTACCCGACCATGATCAAACCAGAAGTATTTAAGAAAACTGATAAAGTTGTCGTGAATATTGTTAAATATTTCACAGTAGAAGTAGTGATACCAATCCAATAAACTCCAGGTGGCAATTGTTTATTTAACTCCTTATATTTACACCTGGTTGGAAATGAATCCTTAAATACGTAATTAAAATATATGGCTTGTATTGAAATGGTGACAAAAAACAACAAATATTTCTACGAAAAAACAGATCCTGCTTCGAATGCGCTGGTCTTGGGTCTTATTATTCCAGTGTTTGGACTATGTTTGCATTAGCTAATGTTACACAGATTCCAATAATGTCCGTGCATCCATACATCAAAGACAACGTTAATTCTAATGGCATCGTTTACGAAAAATTTAATGTCTTGTTGCAACCCGACACACATCGGTCATATACTGAACCAGTTAAGATATTATGGTCAAACACCACCAATTGTACTAAACCCAGAATAGGCGCCTGGTTTCCCAACGATTTCGTCGCATTGCTCCTACAATCAAAAGTTTTACAAGCACCCCCACTACTTCTACTCCGAATACTAGCCTATCACCTACAAACCTAAAGCTTTCTGACAACCCCATCCCTGTATTACTAGATAAAACGAAAAACCGAAACCACCAAATTGGCAGTGTTGATTTAAAACCAGGAATCTCGTTGACGTTTTTAGTGACGATAGCTGCATCAGTGACGATTCATCATCCATAGCTACGCCTGATGATACAACAAATCAAAAGCTCTTGTTTACTCCCACAGTGCAACTTCCTATCTTTCATTTGAGGGGGATGATTTTATTGATATTTTGCGCGAGATAACCTATATTGATGTAAGTGAGTCAAAGGAGATCCAGCCATCGAGCTCAGCACTAAAGTCATCACTTGA